ACGCAACACAGTTACATCAGTGAGGGCTCTTTCACACAGACAGAGTTGGTAAAAATAAGTGGCTGTGCCGTGGTTTTACTACCTCCTGGTCACCCACTGCAATTCTGACAGTCTGATGGGGCTGTACACAGGCTGCAGCAGCAATGCTTTGCTTCACTACCACATAATTTTCCACTTAGGCTGCAGAGTTTGACAGACGACGTCACCTGTCAAACTCGCCCATTGAAATTAGCTCGCAGTTGCAGCATGGTCCAGCAATGTAAAAATGCAGTCTGGAAATTTAAAAAAAAAAGTCAAAAATCAGGCGTCAGGAGGTGGCAATAGAGCCTCTTGAACACCTGTCAGCCTGTCCATGGTGAATCGCTTTTCATGCGGTTTTACACTTACTGCCTGTCTAAAAGAAACCTAACATACAGTTATGTCTTTCATACAGGGTAAGTTTACACGTGTGCCAAGAACAGGCATTTCATCTGCGTTTTTAAAGTCTCATGAACACCAGTCAACATTCTGTACCCCTGGAGCCCAACCTGTAGCCCGGGGGCCACATGCAGCTCTTCGGTATATGATGTGTGGCCCTCAGCAGTCTGTAGTGGATACATACTGAAGATTAGGGTACTAGCACTGATCTCTACTAGCCTTATGTAACATGTTCCCAGTTTCATATTGTCTTCTACAGCCATCCCCAACCAAAAATACAATATGTCCATGCTCTCTGACCCTCATTTCATCTATTAGATCTGCAGATTCTGCCAGTCCTCTCAAGCATTACGTATATTTAACATTGTGTTAGGTCCTTTGGTGATGTCGGGGGCCACATTTGAGACCCCCTTTGGCTCATAAGTTGACAACCACTACTCTATACCAATTATATCCATTCCAGCTGACAATGTAGTTCACGTTCATTGTGCCAAAATGTATCTTGTGTGTAATGTTCGGCTGGCTTTACTGTTCCCCAAATGCCTTCATTCATGTCAATAGAAACACCAGCTATGGCATTTACAGCGCATTTGAGATGCATTTTGAAAACATTATTAGCCAAGATGATAGTACAAGAATCCATACAATAGAAAACCAACATGGAGAAGGCATCTGGCAAGCATTAGTTAACACAACCCAAATTATTATTACAGGTACTTATATAGCTCTGTCAATTTACATGCTTTACATATAGTGCTCAGCATCATTGAGTACACCCCTTTTGAAAAGTAAGATTTTAATCAATATCTCAATGAACACAAGAACAATTTATACATTTTTTACAAAACTGAGTTTTATAGAACATTTTTTTAGCTGAACATTACCTGAACATATGGTTTTTAATATAACTTAGATTACAAAATCTTCAGCTTTACTCAAATTAGCTGATGCAAAAATGAAAACAAAAACTACTCCATCTAGTATTTGTATGACCTCCATGATTTGTAAGGACAGCACCAAGTCTTCTAGGCATGGAATGAACAAGTTGGTGACATATTGCAACATCTATCTTTTTCCATTCTTCAAGAACGACCTCTTTTAGAGCCTGGATGCTGGATGGAGAGTGATGCTCAACTTGTCTCTTCAGAATTCCCCACAGGTGTTCGTTTGGGTTCAGATCAGGAGACATACTTGCCCACTGAATCACTTTCACTCTGTTCTTCTTCCGAAATGCAACAGCGGCCTTAGATGTGTGTTTTGGATCATTGTCATGTTGGAAAAGTGCACGACGACCAAGGGTACGGAGTGATGGTAGCATCTTCTCTTTCAATATAGAGCAGTACATCTGTGAATTCATGATACCATCAATGAAATGTAGCTCCCCAACGCCAGCAGCACATGTAGCCACACAGAAGATGCTGCCACCACCATGTTTCACTGTAGGCACCATGCATTTTTCTTTTTACTCCTCACCTTTGCGAAGCAATACAGTTTTGAAACCATCAATTCCAAAAACAGTTATCTTGGTCTCATCACTGTGGAATACAGGGTCCTAGTAGTCTTCTTTTTCAGCATTGGCCCTGGTACAATCTAGGTACATGAGCAGTGCAGCATTGCTGCCACATCATCACAAAAAGCTCCATTGGGTGAATTTCACTGGCAGGATCAGGACTTTGTAGAAACAGAAAAAGTGCAGGTTAACTAAAATTAACCATTTCAATACCTGACAATGCACCCCCTTCCTGCCCAGGCCAATTTTTAGCTTTCAGAGCTGTCACACCGAATGAGTGTGAACGCTACTCTCGGACACAGTGGATGACAGATCAGTGCACCGGGCCACTGCCAGTACCATGTGATTGATGTGACCAATCACAGCAGATCACATGACAATTGTACACAATGAGTGGCTTCCATTCATAACTATTCATTGTGCACTATAGCGTTGATCTCTGATTGATCATGGGGATCACATGGTACAGACAGGGCAAATCACAGCCCATCTGTACCATGTGATTAGCTGTGGCCAATTACAGCTAACCACAACAGTACACACTGGATGAATGGATGCATTCATAAAAAATGGTTGCTTATAACAGTGATTATCACTGTTATAAGCGATCATATAGTGTGCTAAAAAAAAAAAAAAAAAAAATCCTGATCACCTCCCCAGAGTAGTACAGTGTTAATATGGTAACACTGCACTGCCCTGGTCACAGTATGTAAAAAAACAAATTGTAAAAAAAGAAAAGAACATTATCTTTTTTTTTTCAACATACTGTCACAAGTCAGTGTCCCTAATCACTGCCACACCAGTTATATGATGATGCTGTACTGCACTGGTGACAGTATGTTAAAATAAATATATATATATTATCAATTTTTTTCACTTTTTTTTTTGTTCACTTTTTTTTTTTCAACCCTATCTGTACCATATGATCACTGTGAGCAATCACAGAGATGAACACTATAGTACACAATGAATGGCTATGAATGGAAGCCATTTATTGTGTACAGTTGCCATTTGATCTGCTGTGATTGGTCACATTCCAAAGCCTTGGGTAGTGGCTGGCCTGTGAGATAGTGCCCTTCACTACCTTCTTATATACAGTTGGGATATTGGGAGTCTGAGGTCTACATCAAGCTGGATATTTTTCAGTGCAAAAAAAACAAAAAGACCCTCCCTAAAACTGTGGGTTGTGCCAATGGGCTTGTTCAGGGGGGGTGAGGTAAAAGTGTGTGTAGGGGGAGGAGCCATAAAGGCTGGTGTCTGAGACGTGGTTTTACCTCCCCCCCGACTGCCCACCTGAACAAGGAGATGCAGCTATGACCCTGATTATGCTTAGGGGCCCCTCTCAGGCTGCTGAAGTCCTATAAAGTGGATGCTGATGATTGATAAGTGTGCAAGCTGGGGGTGAGTCTGTCCACGCTTGAAGCACTTGGCAAAGATGAAGAAAGGTGTCACTGCACACCTCATCCGGCTGTAATGTTAACAAATGAATGCCGCCTCAGCTTGCTCCATCGAAGCCACTCCACCAACGCATTTCGTCCCAACCCCTGGAGCTTATTGAAACGTGTTGAGGGCATGGCCTCAATTTTGTGTGTGCGGAGGCTGCTTTCACTTGTTAACATCACAGCTCTTCATCTTTGCCAAGGAGATGCAGCTCTTCCGGTTTGTACACATGCCATGGCTGCGATGCTTCGAAGTGACAAAGATTAAACCACATTTTGCATTAGGGGGGTGGTCCTGCCACAGAGCACAACCTAGTTAAGTGTAAGTGCAATGCACACAGCTGTGGTGTGCAGGTTCAGCCTTATTGCTGATTGACAGCCTGTTCAATTCCCTCTGAAAAGCGATACACCGCAAATCAATTTTCAGAGGGGCGGCAAAAGCTGCTGCACAGTAGAATGAGCCCTTACTCAAACATTTATAAAAGGTGTTAACAGAAGTCAGCTCTTCATGAACAGGTGCTCTTCGTACATATCTGTATGAAAGAAAGCTGAGCTTATCACACCATTCACTGATACTGCCGCATGATATGTGTCTGTGGTTCCAGCAAGCTCAGGGCCTCCTATTCATCATTAAGCAACAGTCAGAAATATTCCATTACACCATATGTTATACTTGGCTCACAAACCGCAGCAAATCTTCCACCGGACCCAGAAACTTGGAAACATTCTGCAAGAATTGTTCAGGTAAATGGGAATGCACAGGGCTCCTGAACATATCCATATTCATTACCCTGACTGTTGTCTGGTGTTGATTTTTTTTCTAGCTACACACATTTTTCCACAATCCCTTACTTGCCAAGAGTTCCAGATTTCCTGGCTTTGTTCCAGAGGTTGGGATGAGGGGGGGAGGGGCTTTACCTAAAGATGGACAGGTGTGTGAATGGCTTTTCACATTGAAGATTGGATAGGTAAGAGGCGGAGCCAGTGCCTCGTTGATTTTCATACTGTAAGGCCGGCTGGTGTGTAATCTGTATGTGTTAAAGCAGAATTTTGCTTATTCATGTTTCTGGATCACACTGGGCTGAATGGAAAGTTGGACAAAGAATGGCAACAGTCCTGCCAAGTTTTATTCAAATGCAGTTCTTTTATAAGATATTGTGAAAATCTGGATACAGTATAATGTGTTAACTCTCTAGCTGCCAGGTGTCATATCTAAGAAAAAAAAAAAAAAAAAGTCCATAAAAAAATACACAGCAATCATCTAGCTGGAGACCCCTAACCCCTCCTACCCATCGGATAAACCACTGATGTATAATGCACCAAGTGGGGACATATACAACTAAAATGTATTTCTAGCCAAAAGGTTTTTCTTTTAGTTTTGGATAGGGTGACAAATAGTTTAGGATAGAGAACAGAATGCCTGTTGTGTTGCTAGTAGTAGTAGGTCACAATCAATTGGACATTTTGTAGCTTCTCCAACCTCTTCTTTAATTCCGATGAGGGCCTGGAAGATAGCACAGACACCTTGATCCAATCACCATGGAATGTATCAATGTTGACTGTCTAAAAACAGGATGGGTGGTATGAAAGTTGTGGAAGCACCCTGTTCTAGTTACATGATCCCATGCGTGGTGCAGGGGCGGACTGACCATTTGGAAACTCGGGCACTGCCCAAGGGCCCGGGGTCAGTAGGGGGCCCCATGAGATGCCCCTGGTACCTTTTTCATAGGCTTTTTTGAGTTTGGGCAAGGACACAGGGGCCCCATGATCTCTATTGCCCGGGGGGCCCCATGAGTTGTCAGTCCGCCCCTGGCGTGGTGGCAGATAGACATTTGTAATTCATTTAGTTACAAAGAAAAATTAGGACAAAATTTTTGTTACTCAAAGATATATCCAAATTTCCGAATAACAATAGTAATGAATTTCAACAAATTCAAACGAAATTAATTATACGAATTTGAAAAAACTTATTGCAGTAAATACAGTAAGGTATAAAAGTGAAATAAGATGATTCCTACTTAGAATAGAAAAGAATAGAATAGAAAAAAAAGGAATATAAATTTATACAATAGAATAAAACAGAATAAAATAGAACAGAAAATAATAACAGAGAATAGAAAAATAAAGGAGCAGAGTAGAATAAAACAGAAAAGAATAGAAAACAAAAGAATAGAACAGAAAAAAATAGAAAATAAAATAATAGAATAGAAAATAATAAAATAGAATATAATATAATGAAAAGAAAAAAACAGAATAAATTAGAATAGAATAAATAGAACAAATACAGCCATCTTCTGAAATTTGAATTTAAATCAATTTGAAAATGTTGAAAAGAATTGAATAAAACAGAATCAAATAGGGTATAAAAGAATAGGATGTTCAATGCCTTGAAAAAGTATTAATACCCCTTGAAATTTTCCACATTTTCGAATGTTACAACCAAAAACATAAATATATATTTTTGAGATTTTATGTGATAGACCAACACAAAGTGGAAGGAAAATGATAAATGGTTTTGAACTTTCTTGCAAATATCTGAAAAGTGTGGCATGCACTTGTATTCAGCCCCCCGGAGTCAATACTTTGTAGAACCACCTTTCGCTGCAATTACAGCTGCAAGTCTTTTTGGGGATGTCTCTACAAGCTTTGCATATCATTTTTGACCATACTTCTTTGCAAAATAGCTCAAGCTCTGTCAGATTGGATGGAGAGTGTCTGTTAACAGCAATTTTTTAAGTCTCGCCACAATTCTCAATTGGATTTAGGTCTGGACTTTGACTGGGCCATTCTAACACATGAATATGCTTTGATCTAAACCATTCCACTGTACCTCTGGCTGAATGTGTTTAGGGTTGTTGTCCTGCTGGAAGGTGAACCTCCACCCCAGTCTCAAGTTTTTTGTAGACTCTAACAGGTTTTCTTCTAAGATTGCCCTGTATTTGGCTCCATCCATCTTCCCATCAACTCTGACCAGCTTCCCTGTCAATGCTGAAGAAAAGCATCCCCACAACATGATGCTGCCACCACCATGTTTCACGGTGGGGACGGTGTGTTCAGGGTGATGTGCAGTGTTAGTTTTCCACCACATGTAGCGTTTTGCTTTTTAGGCCAAAAAGTTCAATTTTGGTCTCAGCTGACCAGAGCAACTTCTTCCACATGTTTGCTGTGTCCCCCACATGGCTTCTTGCAAACTGTAAACGGGACTTCTTATGGCTTTCTTTCAGATTTGTGGAGTGCATGACTAATAGTTGTCCTGTGGACATATTCTCTCACCTGAGCTGTGCATCTCTGCAGCTCCTCCATAGTTACCATGGGCCCTTTGGCTGCTTCTCCAATTAATGCTCTAACCCTGCTTTAAACGTCTCCACAACTTTATCCCTGACCTGTCTGGTGTGTTCCTTGGCCTTCATGATGCTGTTTGTTCACTAATGTTCTCTAACAAACCTCTGAGGGCTTCACAGTACAGATGTATTTATACTGAGATTAAATTCTCTTTACTAATTAGGTGACTTCTGAAAGCAGTTGGTTCCACTAGATCTTAGTTAGGGGTATCAGAGTAAAGCGGGCTGCATCCAAATGCACGCCACACTTTTCAGATATTTGTTTGTAAAAAAATCTGAAAACCATTTATCATTTTCCTTTCACTGTACAATTATGTGCCACTTTCTGTTGGTCTGTCACATAAAATCCCAAAAATACATATTTATGTTTTTGGTTGTAACACGACAAAATGTCAAAAATTTCAAACAGTATGAATACTTTTTCAAGGCACTGTAATAGAATAAAAAAGAGCAGAACACAATAGAGTAGAAAATAAAAGAATAGAATATCAAAGAAAAGAATAAAATAGAATAGAAAAATATAGAATAGATTAGAATAGAAAGGAATATAGCCACCTTCCCGAAATTTGAATGGATTTAAAAATTAGGAAAATACAAAAGAAATCCAAATATACGAAATGAATTCTGAAAACAAATATTACTAAATTAAATCATTAACATAATGTAACAAACAAATTTATCCATCGTACAAATCTCTAGTGACAGCCTGCATACAGTTGTGCTCAAAAGTTTGCATACCCTGGCAGAAATTGTGAAATCAGTACTGTTAAATCACCTATTATGAAGTGGAAACTTTGGGGATCTCTTATTACCAAGCCAAGGTCAGGTAGACCAAGAAAGTTTGCAGCCATAACTGACAGAAGAATTGTTCGGGATTCAAAGAAAAACCCACAGGCAACCTCAAAAGAAATACAGGCTGCTCTGGAAAAAGATGGTGTGGTTGTTTTTAAGGAGTACAATACGGTGATACTTGAACAAAATGAGCTGTTTGGTCGAGGTGCCAGAAAGAAGCTTTTACTGCACCAATGCCACAAAAAAGTGACAATATGCCTGACAACACCTTGACATGCCTAAGCAGCCCTTTTTGTGTCATTGATGCAGTAAAGGCTTCTTTCTGGCACCTCGACCATGCAGCTCATTTTTGTTCAAGTGTCATCATATTGTGCTCCTTCAAAACAACCACACTGTCTTTTTCCAGAGCAGCCTGTATTTTTCTTGTGGTTACCTATGGGTTCCCCTTTGTATCCCAAACAATTCTTCTGTCAGTTGTGACTGCAATCTTTCTTGGTCTACCTGTACTTGGCTTGGTATCAAGAGGTCCCTGAATTTTCTACTTCTTAGTGGCAGTGATGACTGGCATATTCAAGGCTTTGGACATCTTTATGTCCTTTTCCATCTTTATAAAGTTCCATTACCTTGTTACGCAGGACTTTTGCGGGTTATTTTCTGATCCCCATGGCTCAGTATCTAGCCTAGTCAGTGCTTCCAAGTAAGAGCTAACAAACTCATTGACTATTTATACACTGACACTAATTGCAATTTAAAAAGCTCGGCGCCTGTTCAGGGATGGTAGTTCCCATTTTCATGTCTGAATTCACTTTCTTGTATTGTATGTCACTTACCACTGTACTTTGTATGGTATCTGCACATCACCTACTGCTGTACTCTGTACATTGCAGTCTACTGGTATAATCTGCACACCGTCCTTTATGTCAACTACTTCTGTAATCTGCTCATCATCCTGTATGGCACCCTGCTGTATACTTTACTTGGTTCTTTTTTCTCCAAAAAATTGGAACCAAAGTACTATGAATAATAAGGATGGTCAATCTCTGAATTGTTTACTCGCCAGATGTTAAATGCATTTGAATTGATGTGCATTGACATCCATTTTTTTAAATGTTACATTAATGTGAATTTTTTTTCTAAAGCAAAAGCCAAAATACTATTTTTTGGCTACCTTAATGTGCAGTGTAGTACATTGCAGGTTGTTGCATTGCATTGAAATGTAGCATATTCCATTTTTGTCCAGCTCTTACCAGCTTTGTGTATTGGTGTGAACTGGGCCTGTTGAGAACAATGGATTTCAGCTTGTCATTGCATTGGGCCTTCATTGAGCAATGCAGCCCAACAGACATGTTGTGTTTCTTTCTTGAAGATTGTGTAATTATTAGATTCACAGATTTTTAACTTTTTTTCTTGTTCATCCCTAGACCTCATTTCTTAAAACTGCCTATAAAACCATGATGAGAGAAATCCTGTGGAGGCCACATCCCTTAGAATAAGCCACCCTGTGGCTGGTATATTTTTGCTGGAAAGGTGGCAACCCTAACAACAATAAAAAGCTGACAGGGCTCTAGCCATTCCCACACCGCAAATATGGAGGTCCCGGCTTCCACGTTGTCTGTGCATATGCCGGAAATCCCCTGAATGCACAGATGTGCTGCAGGTCTCTGCTGGAGCCGAAAGGCTGGGCATGCACTGGATTATCAACGTTTCCAAAATTTGCAATGGATTTTCAAAATTTGCTAAATCTTGAGGCATCCAAGTCTAAAATGACAAAAAAAACACATAAATGTTACTTATCAATGGGAAACCTGAGCCTTGGACAATGCACACAACTGACTTGATAAAATTTACTTTACATCAAAGATTCCCCTATCAAATTGGAAGTACCCCATCATATTACAGCCCCCCCTTCATATCAGAGTCAACCCTTCATGTCAGAGGCCCCCAATACATCAGAGTTGCCTCTATACATCAGAGGCCCCCTATACATGATAGCCCATCATCACATCAGAGTTGCCCCTATACATCAAAGGCCCCCTATATATGAACCTCCCATCACATCAAAGCCTCCCATTCCCATCAGAGCCCTCCTGCATGCCTCCTGCCCTGGGCCAAATTCAACTGTTCCCATGGTGTGGGCAAGAAGGCTCCCATCCCCATAATAATGAATGCTGCCATGCGTCCTGGCAATAGAGCATCATTAGTTGTTATGGTGCTGATGACTGTCTCTACAGCATCATGTCAACTGGTGTTGCTCATCCAGGGCAAACTGGATCCCATGGTCACAGCACCCCTGGGGAACCCAGACAGCACCCCAGGGAGGTTTAGAAGCAAGATTCTTTTCATATATTAGTGACACACTTGTCAGCATTCCCAGGAGATATAATCTGACCCTATCCAGCTATAGCCCTGCACACTTTATGACAGTTTTGTCCAACAGTAGGGTAAAGGTATGTACATGTAGTTTCAGTGGATTTGGTGCTAAAAGCCAACATTGTCCAGATGCTGCAATAAATATATCCCAAAGGTTTGGGGGGAAAAAAAATCAATATTTGTTATTTCACAAGCATTGATGTGTTTTTTGATGAGGCACAGATGGGTCTTCATCCCAATCGATGGGCCATTTCACCGCAAGGACAAAGGACACTACTGAGGAAGAATCAAAGGTATAGGTGTTGTTTGGA